TTCAATGGCGTGATCTTGGTTCACTGCAACCTCCACCTCCTGGGTTCAAGTGATTCTCCTGCCTCAGCCTCCTGAGTAGCTGGGACTATAGGCACCCGCCACCAACTGCAGCTAATTTTTGTATTTTTAGTAGAGATGGGGTTTCACCATGTTGGACAGCCTGGTCTCTAAATCCTGACCTCAAGTGATCTACCTGCCTCAACCTCCCAAAGTGCTGGGATTACAGGCATGAGCCACCATGCCCAGCCCTAACACACATCTAATTCTTATTTCTGAGGATGAAGGAGAAAAGCTGACCTAGTCACTGATCACTACTGAGCTTTCTGGCTGCAATATTCTGTCTGCAGTCATTATCAACAGGCAATTTTACATTTGATTGATTTGTAGGTTATGTAAATAGGCTTTCCTCTTTCACGATAGAGCTCATTTCTATTCTGTTTCGACTAGGAAAAGCAATTATACCCATTTTGTACTTTCTATATCACACAAATAGTTAAAGACTTCCGGCTGCAGCATGCCTCTGATTTAAAAATAGAAAATGCTCCAGCATTTCTGGCCCATTCCCCACATGGCACCTACCGGCCCTGCTCCAAGTGTTTCTGAATCGAGTTCAATGTTGAAGACATTCTCCGGTTAGCACACAGGAATCCTAGTGAAAGTCTGAAGGGAAGGAGAACATAGTTAGGAATCCAGACACTGATATTTCTTCTTGCTAGAGCACTTGCACTTATGACACCTGGTTGTCACAGACAGAGACGTCAACCAAACTATGTCCGCAGATATTGCTGTTGAAAGGAACTGCATTAAGCAGGTCCTCCCGAAAAGAAGCCTAGTGAGTATAGAGGAATGTTCTTCTAAACGAAAAGCTAGCTGGGGTATTCTGACTAGTCAAGGTTAGTAGAGCAGCCATTTCAAATCTGTTGGTGTCCTGAAATAAACCATATTGGCCTGTTTTTTGCAAATACTAACTTTAAACTGTGGGGTGCTTTCCAGAATGCGGATTGAAATGCACATGTATGGCATGGCAAAGGAGTGCTCTGTATTCTCACCTTTTCGTATATAGAAACTGCATCCGCTGACTCATTCTTATGACTGTATATTAAACATGACGGCAAACTCTTAGACTCTGGCTTGTTTATCTTTCTGTTTCAGCAGGCATTTCTAAGTTGGTATGGAAACAAGGAAAGAGGCCATTAAGCAGGGAATGACTGTTTACAGGCAATATGGAAATTTTAAATCATGTAAATTACACATCAAGTAGGAGGATCATTTAGGCAAGGAAATGAATAGAGCAACTTCCTTAAAGTGTTCTGACACAAAGTCATTAATTATAATAATAGAAAAATATGACAGATAAAAAGGAGAATGAGCACAGTACCAAAGAGGAGGAATTATTTTTAAAAAAGAATATCCATACATTAGCATAAGTTTGAGTAGAACACCTGTGTGGCAGATGATAGACTTAAGTGTTGACAATGCAGATTCAGAGATTAAATGATCCCTGACTCCCAAGATTGTAAGAGTTGTATTTACTATGTAATAGCTGGAGCTTGAAGAATATTATTTATAAATGATTGTTTTTCAAACATACAAAGTGTACTTTCAAATAGTATAAAATAATTTCTTTCAAAAATTGAGAAAGCAACTGGATCCCTCCTCCCCACCCCAATATGCGTTCCCTTTTTATCACTTTTTGGCAACATAATTAACAACAAAATTGAGAAATATACTAGCAATGAAAAAAGTGGTTGACTACAAAAAAGACAATTCAGCAATTCAACAAATGCCTATCCCAGTGCTGACTGTGTGCTAAGCACTGTGCTAGAGGTGGGGAGCAGCAAAATATAGTCTCATCACTTCTTGATCCTTAAAGTCCAGAAGGAATGCAATATTGTAGAAATAAAGACAATCCTGTCATTTCTTAAAGGAATGGTAAATTACTAACTGTGCACTAAACCACAGGCATTAGTAACATAATAGAACTGTGGCAATGGCAAACATTTTTTAAAAAAATAAGTAAACTAATTCACCTGGATGAATCTCACATATCTTCAATGCAGATAGAGACTCTAAAGGAAATTGAAAATAAGCGATCCTTTTATGTTAAAAATCCAATTTTGTGTACAGTCTTCTTTGGCATGGCTTAAATATACTGAAAATATAGAGCTGGGCCCAGTGGCACAGACCTGTTATTCCACTCGGGAGGCTGAGGCCAGAGGATTGCTTGAGCCTGATTTGGAGGCAGCAGTGAGCTATGATCACATCACTGCCCTCCACCCTGGATGACAGAGCAAGATTCTGTCTCTTAAAAGAAGAAGAAAAAAAATGTAATAAAAAAGAAATGCCCCCATGCGTTGATTTAAAAGAAAAAAAAAGAGAAGTCTTACCAAATTTTCACTCGATTTAGCTTTATATTTCCCAGTGCTGTTAATGAGAATGTAAATAGGATCAGTCTTACTGGAGGTAATTTGATGATGTATGTCAGAATTTTAGGAATTTACCCCAAGCAGATAATTATTCACAAAGATGAGTAATAATATTTGATTTCCTAAAACTAAAAGCCACCTAAACATCATTTGGTAGATGATTAAATAAATAAATACATAATGCTATAGCTATACAATTAAATACATATCAGTATATCATAATCACTTGTGGTAGAACTGTATTTTTTCACATAGAACAATGACCATGAGATATCTTAAATGAAAACAAATAGGTTAAAAACATCATGAAAAGTATGATTGTATCTTGATTAAAAATGTGTGTTTAGAAAAAAGTTGGAAAGGTACACTCTAAAATGTTGGTAATGGTTATATTTAGAAATAAACCTTATGATTTCTTGTGTATTTTAAATTGTTCATTTAATGTGCAACTTTTATAATCAATAAGGCACTGTATTGCTGTGTTTTGCTACTATTTCAAATATGCATATTCTTATATCAAAATGTAGAAAACACAATTCCACAGCTCTTTCTTTTGTTGAACTAACCCTTCACTTGTCTAGTCTGTTAGTTATATTTACTATGGACTCCTTATAGATTAACAGTCCACTAAGTGCCCTATGAGTTCTAGGTTTGAAAAGAGAATATTGTACCCTAAAATTTCAACTGGACACTCGAACCGAGTTTGCTTCACGGCTTTGTCAGTTATTGTTTGTAACTTGAGGCAAGTCCTAATGCCGTGGAAATAATAATATTCTTTATTAAGGACACAATTTGTGTTAGACACGTCTCATACCCATGTAACCCTTACAACAACTAGAACATGTAAGTATGATTGTCCCCATTTTATAGATGAGGAAGCTGAAACGTAGCAATTTAAAGAGATGTAGTTAGCAAATATGTGATACAGTCAGGAGTCCAATTCGGATATGCCTTTCACAGCCCTTGATTTTAAGCTCCACACAGCCACTCAGACAAGGTTCTAATGAAGTTAGGTGTGATTCTTAGTGAGTGAGAAATTAGAAAATGTGGAGCACTGTGGAGCAAAAGTGAGTGAGACTGATCCAAGAGTCTATGGACTCCATACCTGCAACCGAGGAAGGCCACACGTGGTAAGTGCTCACACATCAAGTAGCTGAGGATTACAGAAAAAGGAGGGAGCATTTTATTTGGAACTATCGGAGGCTTTCTTGGAGAGGGAGCTTTTGCACAAAGCTTTGCAATATGGGCAGGGCAGAGACGAGAGAGAAAACATTCTAGTCGAGTGGGAAAAAAATCTTACTCCATAAGTTGACATGGTCAAAAGTTAACAGACTTGTTTAACATCCAATTTCAATCTGGCATCAAGCTCCCATTCCCACCAGGCTGCCTGGGAATTCCATCTTTTCAACAGTATTTCCTGTCATCCTCTCCCTTGGAGCTTGTGCAAGAGTTGGAGCTGAATCTTGATTCAGCTGGTGCTTGGTTCCTGATGTATTCAGGATCACAACTGCTCTTCATTCCATGGGCTTCCTGCTGACAAACCTGCTGACTAAGCCCATTTTATCCTTTGCTAAACAGTCCAGCAAATCTGTTGCCTTCACGCCAAATTTAAGGGATGTAACTCTGTCCTGAATGCCAGAACACAGGAACCTAAGACCCATCTGGTTCCTCGAGTTCTTATCACTTCTCAGAGCCATGGCCATAGCAAAGACCTACTAGGTTCCTGCTATTATTCGGGACTTGTATGAAAAACATCTGTCTCTATTGCTCTCTCCCTCTCTCTCTCTCACCCCTTTCTCTCTCAATCTTTCTGTCCCACTTATTTATTGTTCTTACTCTTCTCCCCTCTTTCTTTTTCACTCTGCTGATATACCTTCCCCCTACCAGAAACTTACCTCTTGATTAAGGAAAACTCTTCCAGCCATTTCTGCTGCTTAGATTTCGTAAGCTTCAGTAAGCAGAGCAGGGAAGACAGGGAGGACAAGAACACAGATATATCTCAATAAATTACTATGCAACATGGGAAAGAGAATTGAACAGAGAAGATGGTATAGAAAAAAGACAGAAAAAAGTTGTTTTGGGGAATCTGTCAAACACCCCAGATTAGCTTAAGCAGAGGGTGTATATGGGTAGTAAGTAGTAGAACATAAAACAAAAAAGGAAGATCTGATCCATATTGTAGATAATCTCTAATTCCAGGGTGAGATCTCTAGACTATAATGAGTGGGGAGCCATTTCGATTCTTCAGCCGGAAAGTAATGAGTTCCCAGAGGTGTGTTCAGGGCAGCCACGTGCACCCAGGTATGTGCACCAACCATGGGGCTTGTCTGTCAAAAGAAAGGAGCTCTTTTTTTTTTCTAATTTTCTGAATGCCACTCAATGGGCTAGCTGGGACTTTGGGTGCTTGTGGAAGTTTAATTCAGTGGTAATATACAGGCAAGAATGGTGAGATGGAGGCTGGTGTCAGGAAAATTATTTAGGAAGTTACCGATCAAACTGAATTGAAATGAAAGCAGATACTATTCAATACCCTAATTCAACTTAGTATATCTTCAGCATCTAGAAGGGAAAACATAGCCCAGTAGATAATCACACATGTTCAATAAATGAATAAAATGGTGGATGGATGTGAGGTGTAAGATTATTGCTTAAGGAAGTATTCTCAGGATTCCTTAATGGGGGATGTAAGAGGCTTGGCACAATTTAAGAACCAGTTAATTGAGAAGTCTGAACACCCATGCTCCAAAGTGCTTCTGCAACTCATGTGACTTTGGGCACTCATTCATGCAACAAACATTCATTGATGTGCTAGGTATTGGGGATATGGTAATGCATGAAATAAACTGAGTCTCGCTTTCTAAGGTATTACATTCTAGTGATAAGTGCTGAGAAGAAGAGTAGAGCAGGGAAAGGACACAAATAATGAATACTGGGGAAGGGACAGGGAGGACTTTTTAATAGAAGGTTGTCACAGAAGGCCTCTCTAATAAGGTGATATTTCAGGGAGCACTGAAGTGGAGAACAAGTGATGTGTGTCTCGGAAAGAAGTACTTCAGGCAGAGCAAACAAAAGGTTGTGTAAGGAAAAGCAAGGAGACCAGTATGGCTGGATGAGGATAATGGGCATAGGAAAAAGTGGGTAGAACCCGAGATCAGAGCCTGGAGAGCTCACAGGTCATGGCAAAGACTTTGGATTTTACTCCAGGTGAGAAGGGAAGCCATTGGATTCTCTCTAACTTCCAAAGGATTGCTTAGTCTCCCATATTTCAGACAGACTACAGGAAGGACGTGGGCAGAAATGCACTGACTAGTTAGGAGACTTTTGCAATAGATCAGAGGAGAATAACGGTGGCTTGGACTACGGTATAGTGGTGGAGGTTGAGATACAATCGAAGTTTGGATACATTTAAATGATAGAGGCAAAATGACTTCCTGGTGTGGGCCTGGCAGGCATGAAAAAATTGAGAGAAACTAATGATTATGCAAAGGGTTTTGGCCTTGAAGCACCTAGATGAGTGGAGTTGCCATTTGCGGATTGTGAGAAGTTAGGAGTATTGAATCAATCAAGGGTTCAGTTTGGGACATGCTAAGTTGAATTACCTATTTACATACTCAAGTGGAGAAGTTGAATAGCCAAACCTAAAATTGGGTTAATCAACATGTGGATACTATTTATGCTCTTGGCACTAGAAGGGAGCTCCTCAAGAGTTATTGCTGATAGATGCAAACAAAGACTGAGCTTGGGTGGTGAGGACTGAAGGTGGGAAAGAAGCTACAACAACAAAATCCCTGGGCCAAAACTAACTGACTCCTTTAAAAGAAGCACATAAAACACTCAATATATACAGTTTCCTTGAAAATTATTGTGCTTAAATTTGAGACCATATTATTATTACGAGGCAATGGAGGGAAATGGTAACACTGTTTAAGCCAATAGAGAAATGAAAAAGGAAGAGCTGACTTAAGAGAAAGATGTTGGTTTTTAGAAATGTACTGAGGTGCCAGACATTATTTCCCTCTGTATCAACCATGTTTCAAGGATTTCTGAGGCTCTGTGGTTGTCTGAAAGTATATAATAAAGGCTAGTAAGTGCCTGGTGATTTTTAATTTGCTTATAAATTTGTGAGTTGCCTGGGTGCGGTGACTCACACCTGTAATCCCAGCACTTTGGGAGGCCACGGTGGGCGGCTCGCCTGAGGTCAGGCATTTAAGACCAGTCTGGCCAACATGGTGAAATCGCATCTCTACTAAAAACAAAAAAATCAGCCAAGTGTGGTGGCATGTGCCTGTAGTCCCAGCTACTTGGAAGGCTGAGGCAGGAAAATTGCTTGAACCCAGGAGGCAGAGGTTGCAGTGAGCCGAGATAGTGCCACTGCACTCCAGCCTGGGCAACAGAGTCAGACTCTGTCAAAATAAATAAATAAATATATAAATAGAAATAAAATTTTTTAAAAAATAAACTTATGAGTAGAGATAGGCTTGATGTTGTCACGTCTGAAGCTTATACTGTATACACTTAAGGGGCTTCTTTAAGAAAAGTAACATGAAATTAGGGACAGAGTCTTAGACCGGGATTCTCGTCTAGGTTAGGGTTCCTGCACTTAAGTGTCATTGGCTTCACGGTAAATCCACCTCCATTGTGAAGACAATTGTTGGTTTAATATATTTTTTTAAATTATACTTTAAGTTTTGGGGTACATGTGCAGATTGTTTAATATTTTATGGGGGCCATGCGTGGTGGCTCACACCTGTAATTTCAGCACCTTGGGAGGCAGAGGCTGGTGGATCATCTGAGATC